TATTTGAGAATCAGAGAGAGAGAGAGAGAAAGAGAGAGAGACAATGGCTTTCATCTTTTGGTTGACTTGCTAAATGGATGCAACAGTCAGAGCTGGTCCAGGCTGAAGCTAAGAACCAGAAACTCCATCAGGTCTGCCACTTGGGCAGCAGGGACCCAAGCACTTGGGCCATCATCCACTGCTTTCCCAGGTGCCTTAGCAGGAAGCTGGATCAGAAGCAGAGCAGCTGGGACTTAAATTAGCACTCTGATATGGGATGGCAGCATCATCAGCAGCAGCTTACTCTGCTGCACCACAACTCTGGCCCCACCTACTTTTCCATTTATGTATTCTGTAGAGGGATTTTGGTAAAAAAATATTTGCAATTATAACAAACTTTATGTTCTGCTTTAACAAAAAGATTTCCCCACATCATTACAAATTATTTATAAACATTATTTAAAATGATCTCAAATTATTTCATCAAATATTTCCCATAATATAGTTGATCACATCACACACCCAGCACTGAGAGTCAGTGGATGAGGTTTGGGTCAGAGCTGGGACCTGGGGCAAGATGGGAGACAGGGTGAGACTAGTGAGGACTGTTAGGTCCTCTTCTTGCTTTACTGCTTTTTTGTTGTTGTTCAGCAGGAACTTCCTCAGACTTAGAGAACAGTGACAAGTACAGTACATAGGCTTTTTTCTCTTGATCCATTACCTTAATGATATCCAAATATTTTCATGTGCATTTCCTATAAACAAAGGTATTCTATCAAGCCACAACATAGAGATCCAAGTCACAGCGTTGACATTGACATGTTGTTGCCATCTGATATTCATGTCCTGTTTGTGTTGCACCAAGTTCTTTAATAGCCAAAGAAGCTGTCACAGGCACACATTGCATTGACTTGCCATTGTGTCCGCCTGGAAGAGCTGCTTTCCTTGAGGCGTTTGGAGAGTACGGGACAGTTAGTTAGTAGAATGCTCCTCAATTCCGATTTGCCTACTTTTTTTTTCCATAATTACATTCAGGTTACAATTCTTTGGCAGGAATATCACAGATGTGATGCTGTTTACTTTTCATTACATCTCATCAGGAGGCCAAGGCTTTTGTTTTTTTTCTCTTGCTAATGTTCACTTTGATGACTTAGGGTGGAATTTCTGGGCTTCTGCACTGTCAAGTTATTCTCTTTTTAATTAGCATTTGGTGGGGAGATATTTTGAAGCTATGTAACTGTTCTCTCTCACCCTCTCCCTCCCATATTCTCAATCAATTATTAATAATCTGTTTATGGACTCCTGGTTTCCTGTTGTATTTGATAGAATTACGAGGGTGCCATTTCTTTCCTTCACACTGATGCTTTTTTCTTTCTCCTTGACTTGGGCAGTGACAGCTCTTGCACTGTCTTTTTCACATGTTCCCATCAGAGTGTTCTTTGTTCGTATTGTTCCAACCATGGAATCAACCATTTCTCTGGGGAATACTGATTATTTTTAATGAAGGATTATAAAATTATAACGGAGGTGGGTTGTGGTGCAGTGGGTTGAGCTGCTGCCTGGGATATTCATATGTAGTATTGGAGCTCTGATTTGAATCTCAGTTCCTACACTTCCAGCTTTCTGCTAATGTGCCTGGGAGGCAGAAAGTGATAGCTCAAGTGCTTGGGTCCTGCCACCTGTGTAGGAGACCCAGATCAAGTTCCAGGCTTCTGCCTTTTGCCTGGCCCAGTCCTGGCTTTTGCAGGCCTTTGGGGAGTGAGCCAGCAGATGGAGATTCATTCTCTGTCTCTCTCTCACTCTTGCTCTTGTTCTTACTCTCTCTTTTTCTCTCTCTCACCGCCCCCAGTGTTGCTCTGACTTTGAAGCACATGAAAATAAAAAAGTAAGCATTAGAAAAAATGAAGTTATGGCCCAGGACTAAGATCTGGGTGCTTTGCACGCTCAGTGCTTTCAGGTCTGAAGAATATTTATGTCCCTTTACATTATTTCTAAATTGTTCTCTATTTATTTTAATTTTACTTATTTCAAAGGTAGAGTGACACAGAGAGGGGGAGAGATGGAGAGAGAGTGAACCCATTCCCCAAATGGCAGCAGTGGCTGGGGCTGGGCTAGACTGAAGCCAGAAACCAACCTGGAACTCCATCTGGAGTTCATTCTCATTTTGTTCCTTCCCTATTTATCTTTCTCTGAAGGTGACAAACCTGATTCCTATTATTCTTTTTATTTCTTTTTAAGGTTTTTATTTATTTGAGAGGCAGAGTTAGAGAGAGAGAGAGAGAGAGAGAGAGAGAGAGATATGGATGTGTGTTCTATCTGCTGGTTCACTCCCCAGATGGCTGCAATGGCTGGAGCTGTGCCAATCTGAAGCCCAGAGCCAGGAGCTTCTTCCAGGTCTCACACGCAGGTGCAGGGTCCCAAGCACTTGGGCCATCTTCCATTGTTTTCCCAGGCCATAGCAGAGAGCTAGATAGGAAGTGGAGCAACCAGGACTTGAACCAGCACCCATTTGGGATGTCGACACTGCAGACACCAGCTTAATCCATTGTGCTACAGCCCCGGCCCATTATGCTTTCTTTTCTTTCTGGTTTTTTTTTTTTTTTTTTTTTTTTTTTTTTTTTTTTTAGATTTGTTAATTTATTTGAAAGACAGAGTTACAGAGAGAGGTAGAGACAGAGAGAGGTGTTCCATTTGATGTTTCACTCCCCAAATGGCTGCAAAGGCTGGAGCTGCGCCAATCCAAAGCCAGGAGCCAGGAGCCTTTTTTGGGTCTCCCATGTGGGTGCAGGGGCCCACGGACTTAGGCCACCTTCTACTACTTTCCCAGGCACATTAGCAGGGAGCTGGATTAAAAGAGGAGCAGCCGGGACTCGAACCTGTGCCCATATGGGACGCAGGTGGCGGCTTTACCTGCTATGCCACAACACCGCCCTCCCCCATTATTCTTAATATATCCGTATCTACATATGTGGTTAATCCCCATGTAAGTAAGCAATCTCTCATCACTGTTGCTGCCATCCGCCCTCTGCACCCCCATGCCTTTCTGACCCTGTCTGTACTCTTCCACCTCACGTTATACTCCCTGGCCATGGGAAAGCCCTCCTCACCTTACCAAGGCTTTGAATCCTGTACCAGGTTACCCCATTCTTGCTCTGATTTTGGTGCCTTCTGTGGGCCACACTTGTCTCGCTCCCTAGCCTGCCTTATGTTACTAACGAACTATTGAAAAGAGGAATAGCTTTATTTATTTATTTATTTATTTATATTTTTACAATTTTATTTAAGTTATACAAGTTTCATGTATTTCATATATACAGATTTAGGAATATAGTGGCACTCCCACCCCTCCCCCCAACCCTTCTTTCTCCTCCTTCTCACATTCCTATTCTTAATTTTTACAAAGATCTATTTCCAGTTTACTTCATGATCATATAGTTAACCCTACACTAAGTAAAGGAGTTCAGCAGTGGGGCTGGTGCTGTGGTGGAGCAGGTAAAGCTGCCGCCTGCAGTGCTGGCGTCCCACGTGGGTACCAGCTCCAGTCCTGGCTGCTCCAGGAGTGGAGGAATAGCTCTTGTCTGCTTGGAAGAGGGCCAGTGAACTTACGAAAGACCAGACCTTGTACCCCATTCAGAGAAATCCTATGATTACTTCAACCTGAGCTTGGCAGGGGGGAGGGGGACAAGGAAAGGCTAAGGCTTTTCTTCTGGGCTTTGGAGTTTTCTTTTTTACCTGAATATCTGTATCCAAGGGCCAAATCACATCCACACTGTCTCCTTCCGCTTGCTGGTACTTAAAGGGAATGAGCTGAACTCCATGGCTTCCAGCCAGCTGGGGCTAGTCCCATGGGATTGCGTACTCATGAAGCTATTGGTTCCCAGACATGCACTGTGGGGCTCAGGTAACTTACTAGAAAAACATAGTAAGGACACCACTTTCATTTTCTGTTCCAACCTGGAGAGGAGCACAGAAAAGGTGCCTCAATTCCATGATACCTTCCTCTCAGTGGATGGGTTGATGGAACTTGAATGCTCCACTGCAAGCTGTAACCTTTTGCCTATTTTCCTTTGGGAAGGGAGGACTAGATTTCATCATAGATAAGAATAGGGACCAGCAGAGAGGGCAGAGAGAGCGCTTGTGACTAAGGGGAGGTGGAGACTTGTTTTACTTATAATAAATAAAAAGAATAATGGGAATCAGGTTTGTCACCTTTAGAGAAAGATAAATAGGGAAAGAACAAAATGAGAATGAACTCCAGATGGAGTTCCAGGTTTCTGGCTTCAGTCTAGCCCAGCCCCAGCCACTGCTGCCATTTGGGGAGTGGATTCATGCTCTCTTTCTCTCTCTCTCTCCCTTCCTCTGTGTCACTCTGCCTTTGAAATAAGTAAAAAGGGTTTTCTTTCAGGGGACTTTGTCCCATCTATAGGAATGCTGGAGATTCCCAACTGATGGGGTAATCTCCATTTTGACAATTCAAAATTGGGGACAGGGCAGGGGTGATGGTACAAACTTGAGTTTAGCAGAGACGGATTGTTGAAAAAATCTTTTCTACCTTGCTAAAGTGAGAGAGGATATGTATATATTTTTAATTGATTTGAAAGAGTGACAGGGAGAGACACAGAGAGAAACAGATCTTTCATCTGCTAGTTCACTCCCCAGTGGCCTCAATGGCTAGGGGTTGGGGCAGGCTGGAACCAGGAACCAGAAACTCCATCTGGGTCTTCCACATGGTGACAGGGCATCCTCCACTGCTTTCCCAGGTGCATTAGTAAGGAGTTGGATTGGAAACAGAACAGATGGGACTTGAACAAGCACTCTTAAATGGGATGCTGGTGTTGCAGGCTGTGGCTTAACCTACTGTGCCAAAATGCAGGCCTGGGTACCTTACTGTTTTCATTTGTACTAGAAATATGTAACGTGGATAGATGTTACTTTTAGGAAGTTATTTTGTTGATGTCATTTTCTTCAGTCCTCTGAGGTTATCTTGTTGATCATTAATTTTGAAAAATTATTTTCGACAGCTACCACCATGTTTGAGGCTGGAAAGGGCAAACACAATCCAGATGAGTTTGCTGTGGCGCTCGATGAGACTCTCGGAGACTTTGCATTCCCAGATGAGTTTGTCTTTGACGTTTGGGGAGCCATTGGGGACGCCAAGCAAGGATGAGGCTGATGACGATGATCCACCCCTGAAGAAATGCACCGTGGTTCTTTTTAAAAACAACCCCATAAGAACTTCCTTTAGAAACTTCTGTGACCTTGGTTTAGCTTTATGTATGAAGAATACATTCTTTGAAATATTATTTTGATTTCTGAGTTATTTTTAATGCCATTGTTTATGTGGTATGCCTAAGAAAAATGATCTAAAATATAAATTGTAATGTGAGTTCAAAAGTTTTTAAAGTAAATTTTAAGGTGTATTTCTAGACAGATGATTTTGCTTCCTGTGAACACCTGTGCTTTTATTTTCCACATATAAGTAGCTGATGACAATAGGTCTATAATTCTTTAAGTAATGAAAATTAAGATTGCTGTGTAATTTATCTCAACACATATTCATTTTGTTATACCTGCTTGAACAGTACATGTTAGGAAATGAGAAGTGAATTTTATGCCCACCATGGTTCTAGAAGCACTGCTTTTTTTTTTTTTTTTTTTTTTTTTTTAAATCTACTGTTTAAGGGAATGAAGATTCCACCGGCCTGTTGATTTCTGTGCCCACCCCTCCACTGGAAAACAATGATTGGTTGATTTTCTCTCTTCTGTTTTTTTGTGATTGCTTTTAAGACTTATGGTTGAGAGTTACTGTGCTGCGTGTGTGTTTGCATGTGTGCAAGAAGAATGAAAAAGAGGCAGATAAGTTACAATCATGTGCATGGTATTTTTTTTTTCTTTGCAGTTCTTAAGATATTTCCGTTTTTACCCAGGGCTACTTTTATGTTACCCTTTATAAGCACTCCAGGGAAGGTTATATACTTTTTGTGGAATTTTTCTTTTGAAAGCTGTTTACTCAGAAAATAACTATGTTTGAGAACATTTGTTTTGGGATTAGGCAGCAACCTTTTTCCAGCCACTTAAACTTTATGAGGAGATACTATCAGAAATAGATTCCCCCCCAGTGGAAATAAAGGAGGAAGGGAGAATGGAGGAAAAATATTAATCTATTATTTTAGAGTTCTAACACACATTTTCTATAAACCTTATATTATTGAGAAAATTGACGGTAAACAACAGTTTTATCACTGTTCCTTGACATTTTATAGGTGTGAGAGAAATGGAAATGGATGGTTTCCACATAGGTCACCTAATAGAGCAGAGCATGGTGTGACCAAGCCTCCTTTAAAAGTGCTGGATGGAAAATGCTGCATGTTGCCTTGGTAATCATAAGTAGCAACCTGTGAGGGATGTGCACTGGGAAATCGGAAGGAGTGCCCTCTTCATGCTGGGTTATTGCTTAGATAGCTCTGTTGTTTCTGGTAAAACTTTACTGTCAGCCACTTCTTTTCATGTAAATTTAATGCTCTGAAGCTGGTATTCTTTGTCCAATTTGAAACCTGCACAAGAAGGTGTTTTAGTCATTAATGGATAAGAAAAGTAACTTACAGGCTATGAATTGTTTTATTACTTTTTCTTCTTTTGAAAATAGGATCCACCTCAGGCTATAATTTGTTGACCTTGTTTAGTGGGTTTCTTTCAGTTCCCAAAAATTCATTTTTTTTTTTTTTTTGGAAAGGCACAGTGATAGAGAGATTTTCCACCTGCTGGTTTACTCCCCAAGGGCAGCTAACAGCCAGGACTGGGCAAGGTTGTGATGCCAGGAACCAGGAAATGCATCATATCTGTAGTGTGGGTGGCAGGCACTCAGGTACTTGAGCCATCATTTGCTGCCTTCCAGGATGCAATAGCAGGAAGCTGAATTGGAAGTGGAGTAGCTGGTACTGGAACTGGTACTCTTATATGGAATGCAGGTATTCTGAGTGGCAGCTTAACCTGCTGTGCCACCACTCCTGTGTCTTCTTGATACCATGTCTTTTAGAAAGATACAAAAAAAGAGCCAGAGCAGGTATTTGTTGATTAAGACATCTACATCTCACACTGGAGTGCCTGAGTTTGATTCCTGGCTATGGCTGCTGTCTCCAGCTTCTACCAGTGTAGAATCTGGGAGGCACTGGTGATGGCTCCAGTAATTGGGTTCCTGCCATGCACATGGAAGTCCTGGATTGTGTTCCTGGCTTTGGCCTGGCCCAGCCCCAGCTTTGTGGGCATTTGGGCAGTTGAATCAATGGATGGAGCTCTCTCCTCTCTCTCTCTCTGTCTCTGTCTCTATCTCTGTCTCTCTTACTCTCAAATAAATAAAAAAGAGCAGATATTTTTAGGAGTAGGAGAGTTATTGGAGGATTTAAGAGGCTTATAGAAACATTTTTAGTTTAATTATAGGAATTTTTTGGCACTAGATGTTAAATTTGAAATGATTTGTTGCTTATTATTGACAGATGTCAGTTTTTCCTTCCTTGTTGGGCATGTATGAAGACTGGTACTTGGTGCTGTTTTCCTTGTGATGAGTAGAATGCCATATTTACAGTGATCATTCCACAGTTTCGATGTGTGAGGTACCAACATCCATGTATTGCTATAACTATGCTTGTCTGTTAGTCTTCAGTGGGCCATTATCATTACTAAGGACTTCAGTTGGGCCCAGATACCTTTTATACAAATAGATTTTTCTTTGAAATGTCCTTGTCTCTTACCTCTATAACTAAACTGGTAACCATGTCAGTTCTTTTTTTAATGTCTGTTGTTCACATCTCTGAAAATATATTTATTTGTGAGCTTTGTGTCTTTTTAGTGCCCAAAAAGGAGCAGAGTCAGTGTTTAGTGCAATCCCCTAAGTGTTGGCTAACCTCCTGCTGTGATGAGAGAATTATTATTTTTTTTCTTTGGTAAATGTTCCACTTCATAGGCACTACTAGACATTTTTAGGACTCTTGTTTTTTCTTGTTCTATAGATTCCCTCCCAACGGTGAGTGATTATTTCGTTTGTTGTTGATTTCCTTACACACAAAATGGTGTCTTCTTTCAGTGACCACTAGGAATGCACAATATAGGGGGAGGCTTTGAGGTCCAGGGAATTAAGCTGCCTCTTAGGGTGACTGCAACCCATATGGAGTGCTGGTTCAAGTCCCAGCCACTCCACTTCTGATCCTGCTTCCTGCTAATGCACTTTAGAAGGCAGCAGATGATAGCCCAAGTACCTTGGTCCCTGCTACCCATATGGGAGACCTGGATGAGTACAGGGCTTCTGGCTTTGGTTGGGCCCAGCCCCTGGCAGTTGCAGGCATTTGGAGAGTGAACCAGCAGATAGAAGATCTGTTTCCATCTGTTTCTCCATCTCTCTTTGTTGCTGTTTCAAGTAAATCTTATGTGGCAAAACTTGCAGATGAGCATTGAACATTGGAGTCAATGGGGCCATGAGCATAGTTGGGTCCTACTGTATACATTATGATGATTACAGGTGGCACATTTTGGATTTTTGTGATGCTTTAAAATTTAAACTATATACTTTTATTTTTTAAACTCTCTAAGAAATCAATTTTAAAAGCAGTAATCAGTTAACTTCTGTTTGGAGCTGCTATAACCGTTATGATAGCATGACTCATAATTAACTAGGGATATATAACTTTATTTTTCCAAATGAGATATAAGTTGCCCTGCAACTTTAGCAAATAGACACTTTCCAAGTAAAGGACACTTCATTGATCCCACATTATTGTTAGACCTTCATCACATCCTGAAACTTGTGGTCTTTTTTAGTCATCATTGCCTATCCAGCATGGTAGCAAAATTAATTTCTTCCACGAAATGGAGTTTTCAACATAATAGCTCTTCTAAACAGAGCTCAGTTATCTGCCAAAGATGTAAAAGATAGGTCATATTATGGCCCTTTCACTCTCTGATGCATCTAAAAATAGATGGCTACCAAGAACCTGGCTGTTACTCTGGGGGAGGTGCTAGGGTAGAAGGACAGCTGAGGTTTTACCCGAGCTGTAAGCGGATAAAGGGATAGGAGATGCTATGCAGCTCACAGTCCCAGTCCCAGTGCCCTGTGTGAAGTACACACGTTATTTTCTTGACACAGATAGAGGGAAATGTCAGAGTAATTACAAGTCCCAGCACATATCATAGTTATAAAATGCTTCTACAGTTGTGAAGTGCAAAATGGCACAGCCTGTTCCTACCCTATTACTTGAAATCTTAGTTCTAAGAAATGATTCATGGTTATTATCTGCAAGGAGGGGGGAGGTTGAATATGGCATGTTTATTTCAGTTGGAGATAGTAAGTCTCCATAAGACTGAAGTATAGTCTTTGATATTTTTCAAGCAATGGCAAATAGGAGGAATTAAAAAAAATTTTAAAGATGATTTTGAGACAACATTTAATATTTTGAACTGTGCCATGTGATAGTATTGATTATATACTGATAAGGTATTCTTTTATTTTAGAAAAAAGGTTTTCCTTTTTATATAAGTCATAACATATACTTAAAAATGTTTGAGATTGAATTTTGGGGAGATCTTAATCTGTGAAGTTGTAAATTATATTTTGATACTGTTATAAATATATTGTTTACTATATTTATACTTATATATGTATAATTTAGTCATGTGTTGATCAAAAAGTGAATTATTTGTAAAGCTATGATTTTGTACTATTTCCTAAAGTGTGACTCCTTAAAATAAGAAGCTTTTCATGAAAAAAGTAATGAACATATTTGTCATAAAAAGGGTTGAGGTTTTAGTACTTTTGGACTTTTAAATATTAATAAATGACAGGAAAAACATATGCCATTGTTCAGGACTGTATTTTTTTTTAAAGATTTATTTATTTATTTGAAAGTCAGAGTTACACAGAGAGAGGAGAGGCAGAGAAAGAGAGAGAGAGAGAAAGAGAGAGGTCTTCCATCTGATGGTCACTCCCCAGTTGGCTGCAACTGCTGGAGCTGTGCCGATCCGAAGCCAGGAGCATGCAGGTGCAGGGGCCCAAGGACTTGGGCCATCTTCCTGCTTTCCCAGGCCACAGCAGAGAGCTGGATTGGAAGTAGAGCAGCTGGATCTCGAACCGGCGCCCATATGGGATGGTGGCGCTTCAGGCTAGGGCATTAACCTGCTGTGCCACAGCGCCGGCCCAGAACTGTATTTTTTTTTTTTTAACATTTCCTTAGTATACTTTTTTTTTTTTTTGACAGGCAGAGTTAGACAGAGAGAGAGAGAGAGAGAGAGAGAGAGAGAGAGAGAGAAAGGTCTT